TTCATGTTGCTGCTGATCTGTTTCATGTAGCTGCTGATCTGTTTCATATTGCTGCTGATCTGTTTCATGTTGCTGTGTTCATTCATGCTCATCTGCTCACACAGACTCATGTTCATGCTGCTGTTCAACGTAATGTTTTTATGCTATTAGTGCTTAGTGTATATTTAGTTTATGTTTTTCTTAGTTCATATCTTAGTTGTTATTATCGTTTTTCTTTTACATTTTATTGTTGGATGTAACTGTGACCCTGTGTACACAATTTCGTTCACACCACATGTACCACATGAGGTGCGAACGACAATAAAGAATCTCTGAATCTCTCTGAAAAAAAGATTTTTAAAAAATCACTGAACTGTGAAACTGTCAGACAGCTTTTTAATTTTATAATGAACCAAAATCAAGGTGTGTCAAAGATAATCAGCCTTAGTCAACACAAAACACTTGCACAATCAAGTTTACAGAAATAAAGCTAATTTTGAGTAGTGCCTGCTGAATGTTATTCACAGCACACACTCCTGAGCGCTGACAGGTCATGTGATATCTCATGAAATCTTATTTCACACCATTTCCAAGCTTTGAGCAAAACGACTAAAACACCATCCCTCACATCATAAAATGCTTAGTTTAAAACTATGGCATGAAAAGTGTTGGGTTACATATATTTTTTATGAAGTGTCAGACTTTGAATTGTTGTAAAGTTTCCCTGAAGCAGCATTTTCAGAAGATAATACTGTGAATGAAAGAGTAACACTGAAGTTCATTCCACCAGACTCATATTTAAATCTTCCAACACATTTTATTGCATGCTCTGGGTGTCAGAAGATGTTACAGGAAGAAGGATATACAAATAATTCTTAAACAAAATGTTCTAACATCAGTCAACAATTGGATTCTTGACATATATAAATTGACTGCCAGTGACTAAAATCCCCCCCAACAAAAAAATTAATAATTTATCTATGATTAGGTGATAAATTATGTGAATAAGGAACATTATGTGCATTTTTTTGCCACAATTAACACTTAAGATTAAGAGACATGAAGTTTAATTTTTGTCCAGTTAAAAAGCATACACATTTTTTCATAATACCTTTTTATTATGTGACCAACTACTACAGTGAAAAATGCCTGACATTGCATGGACAGACAAAGAGAATAAATAGAGAGATAAAGAGACAAATTGAAGCTTTGCTGTGATTGGACGGTTGTTGAAGAGGACACACACTTTAATCACACCTTTGTATACTGCGTCACACACTCATCTTAATCTGGGACACCTCATTCAGGAACGCAATGAATAACTTGGTTCCCTCAATGTAGTTGTACCTGTGAAAACAAAAATAAGTACAATGAACAAAATAATCAAGCTGGTCAATAACTGGTCAATGATTTAAACATGGGAGGCAAGGAGAGAAGCTAATAATTAGATAAACAAGATCACTTCTAACTTTTATCAAAACTCTGGCAGCAGCATATAAATAAAATATTTTAATAGATTGTTATTTTACAACTTGATAAAAAAAAATACTTAATTACTTAAATTTGTTCCTAAGATGCTGAGGTCCAAAAACCACAACCTCCATCTTGTCTGAATTTAATAGTTGAGTTATCCAGGTTCGTAGGTGTCTACAACTTGCTTGTACTGTAATCTAAATAAATAATTCAAATAGTCTGGCTTCATGGATAAATATAACTGAGTACACCAGCCTAACGATGTAAATTCAGCCTGGTCCATTGTGGTACAGAGGGAGGTGAAGCTCTCCTAAGCTCTCTTCCTATCCTAACTTATTGTCACAAACTCTGGGCAGCGATTGAAGAAACAAAACTGCAGATTCAAGCTGTTGAAAAAAGTTTTCTCTGCAGGACATCTGGACTCTCCATTAGAGATAGGGTAAGTTCAAGACTTGGAGTAGAGCCACTGCTCCTCCACATCCAGAGGAGCTACAGTGCCTTGTGAAAGTATTCAGCCCCCTTGAACTTTTCAACCTTTAGCCATATTTCAGGCTTCAAACATAAAGATATAAAATGTTAATTTTTTGTGAAGAATCAACAAGTGGGACACAATCGTGAAGTGGAATGAAATTTATTGGATGTGTCAAACTTTTTTAACAAATAAAAAACTGAAAAGTGGGGCGTGCAATATTATTCGGCCCCTTTACTTTCAGTGCAGCAAACTCACTCCAGAAGTTCAGTGAGGATCTATGAATGATCCAATGTTGTCCCAAATGACTGATGATGATGATAAATAGAATCCACCTGTGTGCAATCAAGTCTCCATATAAATGCACCTGCTCTGTGATAGTCTCAGGGTTCTGTTCAAAGCGCAGAGAGCATCATGAAGACCAAGGAATGCAGCAGGCAGGTCCGAGATACTGTTGTGGAGAAGTTTAAAGCCGGATTTGGATACAAAAAGATTTCCCAAGCTTTAAACATCCCAAGGAGCACTGTGCAAGCAATCATATTGAAATGGAAGGAGTATCAGACCACTGCAAATCTACCAAGACCCGGCCGTCCCTCTAAACTTTCATCTAGAACAAGGAGAAGACTGAGATCAGAGATACAGCCAAGAGGCCCATGATCACTCTGGATGAACTGCAGAGATCTACAGCTGAGGTGGGAGAGTCTATCCATAAGACAACAATCAGTTGTAAACTGCACAAATCTGGCCTTTATGGAAGAGTGGCAAGAAGAAAGTCATTTCTCAAAGATATCCATAAAAAGTGTTGTTTAAAGTTTGCCACAAGCACCTGGGAGACACACCAAACATGTGGAAGAAGGTGCTCTGGTCAGATGAAACCAAAATCAAACTGTTTGGCCACAATGAAATTTCTAAATATGTTTGGCGTAAAAGCAACACAGCTCACCACCCTGAACACACCATCCCCACTGTCAAACATGGTGGTGGCAGCATCATGGTTTGGGCCTGCTTTTCATCAGCAGGGACAGGGAAGATGGTCAGAATTGATGGGAAGATGGATGAGGCCAAATACAGGACCACTCTGGAAGAAAACCTGTTTGAGTCTGCAAGAGACCTGAGACTGGGACGGAGATTTATCTTCCAACAAGACAATGATCCAAAACATAAAGCCAAATCTACAATGGAATGGTTCACAAATAAACGTATCCAGGTGTTGGAATGGTCAAGTCAAAGTCCAGACCTGAATCCAATCGAGAATCTGTGGAAAGAGCTGAAGACTGCTGTTCACAAACGCTCTCCATCCAACCTCACTGAGCTCGAGCTGTTTTGCAAAGAATGGGCAAGAATTTCAGTCTCTCCATGTGCAAAACTGATAGAGACAAACCCCAAGAGACTTGCAGCTGGAACTGCAGCAAAAGGCGGCGCTACAAAGTATTAACGCAAGGGGGCCGAATAATATTGCACGCCCCACTTTTCAGTTTATTTGTTAAAAAAGTTTTGACACATCCAATAAATTTCATTCCACTTCACGATTGTGTCCCACTTGTTGATTCTTCACAAAAAAATAAAATTTTATACCTTTATGTTTGAAGCCTGAAATGTGGCAAAAGGTTGAAAAGTTCAAGGGGGCCGAAGGTGTGGGGGCCATCATTTTCTGAGGAGACCCCGGGGAAGACCCAGGACATGCTGGAGAGACTATGTCTCTCGGTTGGCCTGGGAATACCTTGAAGTCCTCCCAGAAGAGCTGGAAGAGGCTGTGGATAGAGAGGTCTGTACCTCCCTGCTCAAGCTTCTGCCCCCGAGACCCAACAAGTGAAAATTGTGAACCAAAATAAATAAAATACAAGCTTTAAAATGATTCTTTCATTTTATGTTGTGGCTTCTGTTATTGCAGTTTTTTGCCCTAAAACTGAACCATCTTTGCAGTTGTCATCCTGGGATAGCTTCAAAGTGTAAAAGCAATTGAAAAAAAACATTAGTATAAAGTCAAGGACGTCAAACCTGCTAATTTTCTCGTTCTGGGAGTGCAGCCCATCATCAAAACCTCCAATGGGCAACATAATTATGCTCTTCCCAGTCACATCCTGGAAGGTTTTGGCAACAGGGATGGTTCCACCTTCACGGATCAAATCAGGATCTATGTTGAAAACTAAAGAAAAACAGGCAATTTTAATTCAATTCAATTCAGTTTATTTACAGTATATAGGGCCAATTGACAACAAAGTTGTCTCAGTGCACTGTACAGGAACATTCACATGCAGACACAGTGAGGACTGAACTTGGCAAAAAGGCCTTCTCCTACTCTGCTCCTGTTTCCTGGAATGTCTTGCAAAAAGATCTGAAGATCTCGACCTTGACCTCTTTAAGTGACTTCAAACATCTGATAATTCATGGGAAAAACCAATGCAGACATGGTACTGTTTTTAGTTTTCTACACCGCCTTATTATATAGCTGTTTTTTTCTTTTTCTTTTCGCTACTTTTGCTTTTGACTGTCCTTTTGGTTGCTATTTTGTTTTGATTTGTTTTTAAAAAAAATGTATGCCTCTTTGGTGACTGTTTGTTGTTGTTGTTGTTGTTATTCACTGTTGTCATCACTCTTTGTTAAAATTCAGGTTCTCTCTCTTGTAAATGAGTTCCCAAGGCTCAATGGGACTAACCTGTATAAATAAAGGTTGAATGAAAAACATACTGTACATAGAAAAGCCATTTAGTAAAGTTCTCTATTTAAGGAAGCTTACTTACATACAGTACAACAAACATGTTGGTATTTTGCAGAAACTACTTGGGTGTTATGAAGTCAATATACTAATGTAAATTCTTAGTTACCCAGGACATACCAAATCCAAAAATGTAAAAACTATTTTTTAACCAAAAAAACCCCCAAGCAAAACAAAACAAAACAAAAATCACAATTGGACTTCTATTCTGTACTAAGACATTTTGCTTTTCATCTTCAAAGTTTTCTCAATCAAAAAAAGTCTGGACATTTGGACATTCAGAGCTTTATAAACTGCATGGGAGGCTTCCTTATGTAAGCTAGCTTCACATGCAGATTAAATTGGTTGCCCCTCACAACAGAGAGTCATTGGGTCTTTGTTTGCTTGGCTCACTATAAAGACATTTTATGGCGCTTTGCCACAGTCACAACCCTCATTGGTTCTATACCACACCAGTTAAGGTACTGTCCACTGCTTGTACCCACCCCCACTCAGCCTGGTTTATGGACCACCTTGTTCACAGTTCCAAGCGAGCTGTTCCGAGGTGACAATTTTGATGTAAGCAGACAGCAGCCGCTGACTGGCCAGAAGAGCAATGTCACTGGATGATCCACTCAGCAAAACTGCAAACTACATCTGAACTTCCACTTCCTCTCTGATCTTGTTGAGTGTGTGTTGTATTTTCTAGTTTCTGGTATGGAAGCTCTAAAGATAGCACCATGGGTCAATAATAAAGTACAGGTCAGACCTTCTTAACTTTACTGGTCAACATTAGAATTTAACATGAGCTGGACGGTGCCGGAAGAAATGAAAGCATTTACAGAGAAATATCAGAGACAATGGCGCAGAATGGTTACACCCAGACTTACAGTATATGCAGTGCTGAGATAAGCTAACATTATTCGTCTGATTATGGGGTGATTAAGGACCACAATGGGTGAAGTGGCTTGAACACAATGACCAGTTATGATACTGCCCACTTTGCACTGACAATCCCGCCCACTGAGTGGGGAAACATGTCACAGTAGCAAACCACCTACACCTGAGAAGAACCAATAAGACAAGAGCCAGGCGGCATCTCACTTATAGAATAGAATATAATTCAACTTTATTGTCATTGCACATGTCACAAGTACAAAGTAACGAAATGCAGTTTGCATCTATCCAGAAGTGCTTAGCAAAACAAATAAAAATAAATAAATTGGTATATATA